AAAAGGAGCCGTTGAAAGATTAGTTGCTAAGTCATTTCAGAACTCTTAAGTGGCATAACAGGTTTTACTTTCACATGAATCCTGAAGTTGTGTGACTTGCCCCAGACCTCAGAGCACATGCCATAGGTATGAGATTCCTTGCATGGATTATCTGTTGTGCTGTGAGCTAACAGTGTCTGTCGAGCTTTCTTGACCCTTAGCCTTGCATGCCCAGACTTTGAGTGTGGTTAGGGTTAGGGTTCACCTCAGTGACAACAGTGCCTCAGACTCAAACAGTGCCCCTATAAAGCTGCTACTTAGGGCCACCATCCTTTGAGAACAACGTATACTGTGCATCACCCAGTCAAACAGCCAGTCACAGAAGCTCAGTGTGCGGGGCTCAGCTTGCTTGGTTCCTCACACTGCACGCTGCTGCTAGTTGACCAGTGAAGAGCAGCCCTGTCATAAATTCTCTGTATAGCAAAATGATGAACGAGTCATTGAGAGACTCGTGGGTGCCCAAGGGTGAGAGAAACAGTTCCTTGACACCCCAAGTTTAGATTGCCTTGGACTGCCCCAGGGTCCCAGGCCTTGGGAAAAAGCACAGAAGGGCCAGTAGACTTCGCTGGACCCAGAGGGTCCTGCTAGCTCATCTGGACCTCAGTGGTTCCTTACCTCCCCTTCTGTTCTGGACTCTTCAGTTCTGTAAGGTGTTTCGAAATGCTTCTCCCAGGAGAGATGCTCATGGTTGCCACACGAGCTACAGTGTAAGAACATCATGGCCATGACCTTCGGGGAGAAGCTGGTTTCTGGAAATCCAGAGAAGCCAAGTGCTGAGTCCTTAAGACTTTTTGTTTTCACCTCACTCCCCTCCACGTTTAGGCTTGCACACAGGCCAGAAGCCAGGAGAAGCCGAGGAATTGGTCAACAGAGTGAGTAAGGACAGCCTGGCCTTTACCCCTCCACAAAGGCTGAGAAACGAGTTGCTCTGTCATTGCCTCTTCCGTTCCCACACCTGGGTCCTAGCCTGATCTCCAGTGCCTCTGCTGTGGAGGACAGTGCTGTTCATTGCTTTGTAATAGTTACATAACATTATACAACATTGCTGTCATTTCCACCCAGCATTGGCTGTTGTCTTACGCCTATAACCCTAGGTACCCAGGAGACTGAGATTCAGACAGAGGCTGCTCTTAAGGCCCTGAGTTCAGACCTCAGTAGCAATCCCCCACCAAAAAAAGTCTCTGTTACTTATATCATTCTGAGGATGGGTTTTTTTCATAGACTTTGTCAGCTGGGCTCTGAGGTTGCCATCTATTGCCAGAATTACACAGTGAGAACAGTGTGTACTGTGTTTTTTAGAGCAGCTTCAGGGTCACTCTAAAAATGAGCAGATGGTGCAGATTCTCCAAATCTGTCCTGCACTCCACACACAGCCTTCCTGTTAGAGCGGCAAGATCCTACAGTGTGGCATAGGCCGCCTTCCTAGCAGACACCCGCAGGTTTGGCGTACAATCTATTTTTATTATTTCTTTTAGGCTTTTGGCGTTTTGCGTCCATGTTCAAGAGGCCCCTCAGAACATCGTCTGTGAACTCAGCCTTAGGAAGCACTAGTTTGACATATAGGCTTAAAAGCAGGACCTCCAGTCCCAGGGGCTCCCCCACATGCTGAGCACCCTCCCCAGGGAGCAGTCCTCTAGCTCCCGATGGTGGCACCCTGCCCCACTCTCCAGCCTGCTGCTGCCTAGCCCTGGTTGACCTTTGGACTGGTTAGGTTCAGGCTCCTCTGGCTCGATGCTGGGCCTGTCCCTACGGCGACTTCAGGGTGCTGCGGGCCTGCCACCACCCTTGGTGACGGATTCCCGGGTGGGGCATTTGCTCGAGTGAGTGCCAGACATTTGACCAAGACGAGGCTGACTGCGGCCCTCCCCCAGCAAAGTGGGGGAGCAGGTCTGCTTCCAGTCCATTCTTGTCCCTTCTTGCCACTGGCACTTAGCTCCCCTGCATCCTTCAGTGTTTATTGAGGCGAGCAGCAAGGTGCAGTTGGTGGTGAGAGCGAGGTCAGCTCGATCTCCAAGGACTGCCCAGGGTCTTTTTTGTGTTTTTGGTACTGGGGATGGAACCCAGGACGTCGTACCTGCCAGACAAGTGCTTTGCCCCTGAGCTGCATCCCCGCCCTCGGGGTCTTACTGGAGCTTTGCACATGGTGAACTGCAGCGGGCCTGGGTCCTGACCCCTCGCCAACGGCTGTGATGATTGGAAATTACGAGTGGGAGACGGCCTCTCCTTGCGAGTACAGCGGGACCAAGGGCAGCAGGCTAGGCTGGGGTTTATTTCCTCAGATGTCTGAAACCAGACAAAGCTATTCTTTCCTTTGGAGGTTTTCGTTCCCTTTCGCTGTAAAGTTCAGTATTGGACCAGATACAGCTAGGCAGCCTCTCTGGGTGGCCCTGGACCTGTACAGTCAAGGTCCCCAGGCAGGCCAGAAAATTCTGTGCTTTGCCACACTAAACAGAGTCTTAGGTTCACATAGGAGAGTGTACCGTGGTGTGTGTGCACCGTTTATGCACGTGGAGGTGGTAGCATGAAATTGTTCCCCGGATCCCAGTCTGCGGCATTTCCCTTACTACCAGCTTCCACTCCCTCCCCAGCCCAGGACTTGTGAGCAAACAGTAACCTCACATACCCAAAGCACAGCTCCAGAGCCAGGGACTTCAGGAAAGGAAAAGTGGGCTGGTCTTCTGAACAGTCTCCTCTGGGTGAAGGAGGGGGGAATGGTGGCTGGAACAACAGCCCAGAGCAAACAGAGTAAGGCTGCCTTCACCAGCAGACGGCCCCAGCCCTTGTACTTTTCAGCCTGTTCTGTGTTCATTGATTGCCAAGTTCATGAGGGCTGAGCAGAGAACGTGTCCTTCTCCCCGGCTCTGCATCAAGCGGAGGAGATTCCCTTCTTGCCTGTCCCTAGTGACCATTGGCAGTTCGTTCAGCCTGAACAGCTGTGGTGGGTGTTGGAGCTAGCAGTGACTTCTCACCCTTAACCTAGATTGCTGGCTCTCCTGTCCAGCATCACATGTCACTGCTGTCAGCAGCCCCAGAATAGACAGAGATGTTAGTGGAGAAGCTTCATCAGGCAGACCTTGTCCTTGCTCATTAGTACCCAGCCAGTATTTCCCATGTTTTCCTACTGTGGCTGTAATAAACGTACACCTCACGCTGCAGCCAGCCACTGTGCCTAAGCACTCAGTTCAGGGTGGGGGACGTACTCTGTTTATATTTTTCAGGGGAAGGGCCCGTGGTGATGAGCACATTGTGAGGGTTAACCATTCTAGTCAAGTGCAAAGTGGGCAGGTGTAAAACGAGCCTTCTGTATCGCTCAGCAGTGGTATCTACTCAGCCTGCTACTCCCCAGTGACCAGTCTCTCCACACCTTGTATCTCTTCTACTGAGTGTCACATATGAGTGAACACAGTTGTAGACATGAGTTGGAAATGGACTTTGCCCATTTACTTACTAATAAATTAGTAAAGGAGGGTTTGTTACAGAATCTGGAGTTAAACAACTGTCCAGCTGTGCTATGTCATCTAAGACAGCCCCCAGATTCCTGCCTGCCGCCCTCCCCGCCTGAGACCCACCAGGGTCTAATGATGCATGCAGCAGCCCTGGCCCTGGCTCCTGCCAGTTAGGCTGGGTTTGTACTTGACGCCCCCTCTGTGCTTCACTGCAGAAAGGTGGAGGTGACAGCCTTCTGAGAAGTGAGCCACTGACCCTCACTGCAACTTGTAGACAGGTGCTGAGGCCCCTCCTGACAGCAACTAAATGTGAAATGGTGCTGCTAAGTTTTTACAGTGCTTATAAAGCTGCGCTTTACAGCTGATAACCTTTTGTGTTCTTAGGAACCTCATACAAAGACTAATAGTATCTCTTCCTATGTAGTTTTCTGTAAGTAACAGAAACACAAATAACAGCGCTTTGACAGAGAAGTCTCACAGTTCAGCACCGATTGTGCTCTCTATTGTCCTCAGTGGACCCAGATTTGGGTCTCGTTGCTCTTCCTGGAAAAGCTATCTTACCTCATCTTACAGTGTATTAGGCTCAGGCAACTCGGTTCAAAATGAATATTCCTCTTGAGGTGTCTGTAGGCCAAATCTAGTTTGGTCCCTGGCCACCGGGTGTGGAGGGACCGCCCTGGCCTTGAGCCCCAGGGGCTTGGATGCAGACGTTTACTAATGTGTAAGCCTGAGATGGCTGCTTGGTACAGCCCGCCAGGGAAAAACCTGAGAACAGAGCAGGCAAAGGGTTCTCCACAGTGGCTGCTGAGCATCTGTGCCTGCTGGCTCCTTCACCACAGCCGGCACATGGCTGCCCCCGGGCCAGCACAGTCCTCCCTGTGAACAGCTGTGTGCCTGGCTGAACAGCAAGACTAGGGAGCCGGAAGCGCCCTTGTACCCTGGGCCACAGTGGAGGCGGCCCTGCGCAGCGCCCTGTTCTGCCACACAGCTCAGTAGGCTCTGTCTCATGTGTCTTGCTCTGTTCTTGTGTGGAAGGTTTCAGGGCAAATGGATCTTTAGTAGAACTGATAGCAGAATCAGGAAGAGTTCCCCAGATCTGCTGCACTGGTGTTTTCTGTCCTACTAAAGCAGATTACGGTGCCACACTTGAGCTGTGCCCCAGCAGCAGAGGTGGCAGCCATGAAGGTCAGTAACTAGAACTGGAGCAAACACTTCTGTTGACAAATGTAGAAATAAGGGTTTATTTACCACACCAAGAACATTCCAGAGAGAATGCAGGGGTGTGGGGCCCTGCACAGTCCGTTAGTTTTATCCTAAGATGTAGCTGTCATTGTCACATGAAGCTGATGTATTTAGTAATGTTTTCAACAGGTGTGTGCTTAGTTCAGTCTACAGGTATCTGTGGACTGAAGCAGTAAAGTCCAAGTAGAGAGAGAGCTGAGTTACAGCCAGATGTGGCTCGAGGTAGATTTGCCGTGGAGGCCTCACAACAAGCTGCCGCAGCCTTTCAGTCTTTAGTCTTCTGATCTTCTGTGCCCTTGCTCTCTGCAGGAGATGAATGGGGTGCTGAAAGCCATGCTGTCAGAGTGGTTTTCTTCGGGCTTCCTGAACCTCGAAAGGGTCACCTGGCATTCACCCTGCGAAGTACTTCAGAAGATCAGCGAGTAAGTGTACAGCTTGCCCTGTCCCTGGGACCAAAGCCAGTGTCCATTCAGATGACATCTTGTTTCAAGTCACAGCCTGGGTCTCCATAGGATGTCATGACAGGGGCATGGCCCAGAGGACACTCAGTCTGTGGTAACCCAAGCTCAGTCTCACATCCTCCCACGTAAACCAGATCAGCCAAGGCTCACTGCGACAGAGCGTCACCAGACCAAGCTTCCGTGTTAGCAATCAAAACATATATCTTACCACTTGTGAAACGATCTCTGCACTACAGTGGGCACAGAACACAGTCTACCACAGGCATGCACATCCTGACCACAGTCACGTCCTGTGGGACCATGTGACAGTGCCTGCTGGCCTCCCCCACGCTGGGGAAGCACAACAGTAGTCCAGTGGGGCTGAGCAGTGGCCGGTGGGGCTGAGCAGTGGAGGTGGGGCTGAGCAGTGGAGGTGGGGCTGAGCAGTGCAGGGTGGGGCTGAGCAGTGGAGGTGGGGCTGAGCAGTGGAGGTGGGGCTGAGCAGTGGAGGTGGGGCTGAGCAGTGGAGGTGGGGCTGAGCAGTGGAGGTGAGGCTGAGCAGTGCAGGGTGGGGCTGAGCAGTGCAGGGTGGGGCTGAGCAGTGCAGGGTGGGGCTGAGCAGTGGAGGTGGGGCTGAGCAGTGCAGGGTGGGGCTGAGCAGTGATGAGAAGGGCAGGGCGGCCTAAGGAGCCATGTTGAATGTCACAGCATGAACAGCACATTCCACCACGGGCGTCCACAGTCAAGCAGGGTGTCCAGCAATGGCATCGAGTAGCTTTGTGTTTTGAAACAAGTGTTGGGAATAAGAATGCCAATTTCTTTGTAAAACGTCCTCAACGTCCTCATCAATGCTGTTTCACTCAAAAGTAGTTTTTAGCCAGGTGCCGGTGGCTCTTGCCTATAATCCTTGCTTCTTAAGAGGCTAAGATCTGAGGATCGTGGCTCAAAGCACTTTCCTGGGCAAGAAAGTCTGTGAGACTCTTATCTCAAATAAACTACACAGAAAGCCAGAAGCAGAGCTCAGGCTGAAGTGGTAGAATGCGCTCCTTGAGCAAAAGCAGTTCAGGGACTGTGCCCAGGCCCTGCATTCAACATTAAAAAAAAAAAAAAAAGTATTTTCTTTGACTTTTCCTGGTGAGTCAGTGAAAGCTGTATTGAAAGGTGCACTGGGCTGTAACGGGTAACACGCATAGGGATGAGGGATTGTTACTTCACTTGTAATACCTGTTTGTCTCTGTCCCAATGCTGTCCTCCTCAGGGCCGAGGCCGTGCATCCAGTGAAAAACTGGCTGGATATGAAGCGCCGTGTGGGGCCCTATAGGAGGTGTTACTTCTCTTCTCACTGCTCCACCCCTGGCGACCCCCTGATTGTTTTGTATGTGGCGCTGACCAGTGACATCACCAACAACATCCAGGTACCTACAGCCAGCCACTTCAGGCAGGATAGGCATCCTACTTTGTGCATGTGTGTGCCTCGGTTTTCTCTTCTTAAAATAAATTTCTTGGGGCTGCAAAGGTGGCTCAGTGGTAGAGCACTTGCCTTGCATGCCCGAGGTCCTGGGTTCGATTCCTCAGCACCACATAAGCAAAAAGAAAAAAGCCGGAAGTGGCGCTGTGGCTCAAGTGGTAGAGCACTAGCCTTGAGCTGAAGAGCTGAGGGACAGCACCCAGGCCCAAAGTTCAGGCCCCACGATAGGACCCAAAAAATAAAAATAAAATAAATTTCTTTGAGTGGAGCCCCAAGGGCTCATGCCTGTCCTGTAATCCTACTCAGGGGGCTGAGAGCTGAAGATTATCTGGTCAAGAAAGACCATGAGACTCATCTCCTGTTAACTAACATAAAGCAAAAAGTGGAACTATGGCGCAAGGGTATAAGCCTTGAACAGAAAAAGCTCAGGGATAGCACTCAGGCTCTGAGTTCAAGCCCCAGGACTAGCACAAAAATAAGTGAATAGCCGGGCGCTGGTGGCTCACGCCTGTAATCCTAGCTACTCAGGAGGCTGAGATCTGAGGATCATGGTTCAAAGCCAGCCTGGGCAGGAAAGTCTTATCTCCAATAAACCACTAGAAAACTGGAAGTGGCGCTGTGGCTCAAGCGTAGAATGCTTGCCTTGAGCTGAAGAGCGGAGGAACAGTGCCCAGGCCCAGAGTTCAAGCCCCACAACCGACCAAAAAAAAAAAGTTAATCAATAATTCCTTTGAATTTTAGTGGACTTTGTGATTGGGTAAATAAAATCAGCAAACAGGTAGCATGCCCAGATACAGACAGGCAAGCAGGAGAGCATTCACTGGCTCTGTAAACTTTTGAGTTGAGACAGGTTGAGGTTTGTCCCAGGACATTACTGTGAGGCAGGAAACAGTTGTTGTAGAAGGGATAGCAGGATGGATGCAAGGTTTAGCTGTCCAGCATTAGTTGTCCAGTGTGATTGAGAAATTTAGGAAGTGGAGCTGTGGCTCAAACGTGGTAGAATACTAGCCTTGAGTGAAAAAGCCAAGGGAGTGCAAAGCCCTAAGTTCAAGGCCCAAGACTCTCTCACACACACATACACACACACACAAATTCAAAGGTAGACTTAGGACCACGTTTCTGCTGTGGGCCAGGTGTTGTTGGTCAGGTGGAGGTTGTGACACAGGCTGGCTGGTCCCTTGCTGTGGTGAGTTGGTCTAGAGCCATTTGGCAGGAAGATCTGATACGTGGCACAGCCAGCTGGTGATCTGGAGTCTGGAAACAAGAGCACAGCTGGGTGCTGATGTTGTTGTTTAGCATACAGGGGGTTTCATTCTGACATCTCCATCAATTTGGAGAGCGTATCCCCATTAGCTTCTTCTTTTAGTATAATTGCAAATGCTTTCCACCGTGGGCTTTCTAAGCTTGACCCATCTCTCAACATCACGAGCTCCCCTCCACCCACTTTGCTGAAGATGACGGGATTTCCTTTTTCTAGTTGGCTGAGTAATATGCGTGGCATGTATGTGCCATGTCTTCTGTCATTCTCCCATGGCTGGTACCTTAGCTGATTCTGCTGTTTGGCTATGGTGAATGAAGCTGTACAAGCATGGACATGCAAGTGTCTTTCTTGTGTATTGATTTATAGTGCTTCACATGCCCAGAGTAGCATGTCAGGGTCATAAGGTCATCTTTGTAGTTAAGGAACCTCCATATTGATTTCCATAGTGGTTGACTCATTTACATTCCCAGCAACACCATACGAGGCTTTATATCTATCAGCCGTTTATATTTCTTCTGAGGACCGTATGCTCATTTGCCCGTTAATTGGGTTGTTTACTGTTGAATTTTTGTGTGTTCTGAATGTTAACTCATTGTCCATTGGCTAGCTGGTGAAGATTTCCTTTCATTCCGTCACTGTTTTGCTGTGCAGGAGCTTTTCCGGAGAGGAGGTTTTAGTGGAGGGAAGGCAAGCTAGGGAGGTGAGGCCTTGATCTGGCGCAAGGACACAGCGTCAGGTGTGTGTGGGGTCAGCAGAGGCCGCTGGGAAGGTGAGTGGATGAGAAGGTTGCACACAAGGCAGGCCCTGGCCTGGGTTTCCTCAGGAATTGATGAGGGCAAGTGAGCAGGTATTGTTAGCACCAGGAGGAAACGTGCAGGTTTCTCTGTGCGGAGGAGTTGTTAGGCCCCCTCTCTGAGGGGCTTTGGCAGCGGGTGTCAGTACAGAATGCACAGCTAGGCCTAGAGGAGTCACCCCTGAGGGCCTGTGCTGGGGGAGTCTGAGAGTCCAGGTGGGCACTGGTGCTGGGTTGTCTGCAGCTGCCCGTCATAGAGCATGCTAGAAAACATCTAATTGCACACGCACTGGGCTGCTGCTGTGTATTTAAGGATTGGGGTGGGGTTACACTTACTGTTGAGCAGCAGCTCTATGTCCGCAGTCCACACCTGTATAGCATCAAAACAGCAGGTTAGATGTTCTGGCCTCAATTTAGACATGTGAGAGCCGAGGCCTGGCAGAGCATCAGTCCTGTGCCAACGTGGTAGAACAAGTAAGGATTCGAACACAGCCCACATCCTGACCAGCCCACCCGGATCAGAGTAGCTGCAGGCAGAGTGAGGTCCGATCTTCACATGCAGGCGACACATCTGCTTCCACATGCCTCTGTGCCGCCCCGTCAAGTGGCCGCCAGAGCTTGAGGGCTGAAGGACCTGCAGCCCGTGGGGGGTTCCCCTGAGTGGCTCTCCAGCCTGAGTCATTTCTTAGATGGCTTGAAGTCTGTGTCCCTGTGATGATGTGTTTTCACTTAGGAAAAACAGATTATTGGCATGAAATCAAAAGGCACTTAGAAAAGCCATACAAAGGTAGATTTTGAAAAAGAAAAACAATGTCAGACTGTATGGCCTGCTGAGAAGTCTGAGAAACTGAGTTCAGAGAGGAGCGAAAGTCACTAACGGGCAGAAAACCAGGCCTTTGAAGAAAAGGAGAAAAAAAAAAATTCTAAAGAAATTACCACGTGCAGCCAATTTGCCTTGACAAAGGCTCGGCACGGTGTGCCCAGTGCTGCAAGGACAGATGACGCGAGCTACAGTTCGCAGGGCGGCCTGAAAAAGACAAAAAGAGGCGTTAGTTACTGCTCGAGCTTGCTCAGGGATCTCAAAGCAGTGAAAAGTGACACCGCGCCAAGCAGGCCGCAGGGGACCTTGCAGAATCGCTACCTCCGAATGCAGAGCAGCATTTGCACGGGCCCCCATTTCCTTGAGCGCTGCCCTTGGACCTGGAGGGGTGGTGGTGAGGAGTGAGGGCCACAGGCCGCCAGGTCACCATGTCTGTGGTTTCCAGGCCATCGTAAAGGATTGCCCTCTTTCGGAGACAGAGGACAAGAACAAGATTGCTGCGGCCATCTTCTACTCCATCAGCCTGATCCAGCAGGGACTGCAGGGTGTGGAGCTGGGAACGTTCCTCATAAAGCAGGTGGTCAGGGAGCTGCAGGTAAGCAAGCCCCGCAGAGGCACCTCCCCGTCACGGCCAGGCCGGCAGCGAGCCTGCGGGTGTTGGTCTCCCAAAGGTGGGAGAGCAGCTGTGCTGGAGGACACAGGAGAGGCAGGAGGAGAGGACCCGTTAGGAGTCCAGCTTCCTGGTGGGCTGGAGCGTGGTGCGTTCTGGCCACCGGCCAGGGCCGCCTCCCGTCACTCACAGCCATCCCCGGCAGCATGGTCCAGTTCCCGGTTCCTCACTGAGCCTGGCCTGTGCGGGCGCCCCACCACATCTGCAGCCCCGCTGGCCTCTCTCCCCCATCGGTGTGGGTGTGGCCTGGGTGCGGAGGCTAACCCAGGGTGAGAAGGTAAAAGTGTTGGCTTATGTTGGTCTCTGCCTTTTCTTTGCCGCCTGTGTGCCATGAGTGGTGAGCTCTGGGCCTAGCTTTTCCCAGTGCCTCCTGGGGGATGGGAGAGCCACGGTGACTAGAATCTCATCCTCCGGATCGCCGGCACCCAGCCTGGTTCAGTCCAGGGCCCTGTGGCAGCTCTCCCTTCCTGGGACCTCAGTCAGACCGCTTGTATTCCGTTGGGAATCGGCCTCTTTATTGGCACTGCGGTTTATCCCCAGAGGTAGTAGCATGCCACATCTGGTTAAGTTCACATTTCCTTTTGTTGCTGTTGTTTTTAGTTTGTTAGTACTGGAGTTTGACCTCAGGGACCTTACAGGAACTCTGCTTACAGGAACTCTGCACACTCCAGGCTTCTTGGCTTTTGTTGTTTTTCAAATAGAGCCACGCTTTTTCCTCTGGCTAGCTTAGCATGTGATGCCTAGTTACACATCTAGCCTAGCAGGAATGATAGATGTGTACTACCATACCTGCTTTTATTGGTTGAGATGGAGTCTCTTGAGCGTTTGGCTTAGGCTGCTTTTGAACCACAGTCCTCCTGATCGTTGCCTCTAAAATAACAGATTACAGGTACGTAGGACCTTTTTCTTTGCTGACAGTGTTAGTGAGGCTGCAGGGAAAGGGGAACATGTTAGGGTAGGAAAGGCAGGAGACTAAGCGTAGAACCTGAACTCTGTGCAATCTGCGCACAGTCTATTTCTGAGGTAGAGTTGGCTCTTTGGCCCAGGAACCTCCTTGGTTTCCTCCATTTCCTCGAGCCTCAGCTGTGAGCCAGAAAGCCCCAAGAACCTTGATGGGATATTCTACGCAAAACCTTGGGAGCTGCCGTAGGTGCCCCGCGGGGGCGGGGCTCGTGAGGCCAGATCCCAGTGTAGTTGGCTATTCCAATATTATTGGATCACTAACATGGTATTGTTGGATTTTAAATGACGATCAGAAAATGTTCACAACATAAACTCATAGTGCAAGATATAAGCGTCTAAGCCATATAAAACTGCCAGAGAAGAGCAGAGGGCAGAATGTCCTGTCAGAGTGCTGGCCAATGACCGTTTCCTTCTTTCACAGTGAGCTCGAGTTTACAACCCGAAAATGCCAGATTTCGGGAAATAATCCTTGAGCTCTCTATAAAGCTTGCACAGTGATGATGAAAACATGTGTGGTGACAAGCCCTTCCCACCCCTGCTCTGCCCCGTCCACCCCGCCCCTGCTCTGCCTGCCGGCAAGTAGCTGGGCCGTCACCAGCCACTGGTCGGCCCCCATCAGCCTTGGCTCTGGCGAGGAGGGTGGGGGTGCCGAGGGGAGAGAAGGTCTGAGGTCAGAAACCACAGCTGCCACACCCGCCACAGGCCCGCTCCCATGTGAGCCAGGCGCCCCAGCCTCCATCTTGTTCTGCCAGTGTTCCTTCAGTGTGCGGATGGAGGTGCCACTTTAAAGGCCTCCCTAGGGACTCCAGAGCCCTCCAGGGCCCGCACAGACCAGATTCCACGTAAGTGTGCCTTGAAAGAAGAAGAAAAACACAGTAGCCCACCCCCGATGTCACGGCAGCCACACCACGCCAGAGGCGATGGCCGTAGACTGAGAGGGCTCCTGCCACGCGGTGCTGCCTCTGCTGAACCTCTTTTCCCACCTCCTTCCCTGCCCCTGCTGTACAGAAGGAGTTCCCTCACCTGGGGGCGTTCTCCAGCCTGTCGCCCATCCCCGGCTTCACCAAGTGGCTTCTGGGGCTCCTGAGCCTGCAAGCCAAGGAGCACGGGAAGAACGAACTGTTCACAGACTCGGAGTCCAGGGACATCGCCGAAGCCACGGGCGGCCCCGCTCACGAGACCCTCAGGGCCTACCTGAGCAGCAACGAGTGGGTGAAGTCGGCGAAGCTGGTTTGCGCGCTGCAGGCGCCCCTCATGAGGCTGTGTGCCTGGTACCTGTACGGTGAGAAGCACCGCGGCTACGCCCTGAACCCTGTGGCCAACTTCCACCTGCAGAACGGGGCCGTGCTGTGGCGCATCAACTGGATGGCGGACAGCAGCCCCAGGGGCCTCACCAGCTCCTGTGGCCTCATGGTCAACTACCGCTACTTCCTGGAGGAGACGAGCACCAACAGCGTGGCCTACCTTGGCTCCAAGACCATCAAAGCTTCCGAGCAGGTCCTGGGCCTGGTGGCCCAGTTCCAGAAGCACAGCAAGCTCTGAGCCTGCCCCCAGGGGCCGCCCCCAGGACAGGGCGTGTTGTGGGTGGGACCTACCCACACCCACTTCTCACAGGCGCTGAGTGGAGGCGCAGCTGGGCTGTACCACCCTCCCTCGGCAAGGTGCTGCCCTGGCGAAGATGCGCCCCCTGACGGGGAGGGTGCGGTGCCCGCGCCCCGGGGGCCCTGGGCCCTCCAGAGCCTCTGCTGCCGCCTTTGGTGCCAGGGCGTCTCACCAGAAGCAGGCTGCGGCCCGGATGAGAGCAGATTCTCCTGCGGGCGACATCAGCCCGCCATGGCTGTTCGGTCATTGTTCTCCACGCAGTACAAAAGGAAAGCTGCGTTGCCTTTTACCAGCTCACTTGCACGGCTCAGAACCGTGAAAAGTTCCAGACTGTACGTAAAGTACATGGAAGACGTGTCTGCGGGACACCTCTGCTGGGTTTTAGGCTTTAAAATCACGGTGATTCAGGTTCATAGTGAACTAAATAGTAAAGAACAAGTTTGTTCAATAAAGTTTTCAGTGTGATTATTGGTTGTAAGATTCGAGTTGTTGTAAGGCTGGGATCAGCTCTGAGATGTCTGCGGGCCATTCCCCAGCCCTCCCGTGCTGATGGGGCTGGGGGTGTGCACCGAGAAGAGATGCAGAGGTGCCTGCACTGCTCTCGGGAAGAGACGTGTGCACATGTGTGCTATCTGACCCCATCTGTGGTCACGTGTGGGTAGGTGTTAGTGTGTGCACGGTACCGTGTCTATATATAAGTGTGTGTGTGTCTGCTGGAAGATACATTGTCTGCATTTATCTCGGGCTGGTTCTGTGCGTGTGTGCGTGCGTGTCCAGCATCAGAGCACGTGCACACAGGCCCCTTGCCCTTCCTTCCCTCCATTTTCCCAGGCTCCTGTGGCCTGCTGGCTATGGTGACGCAGCCTGGGGGATGGCCCAGGGGAAGTGGTTTGGGGCCTCTGCCCTGCTTCAGGCTGCTCCTGGCACTGGGAAGTTTTGCAGGAATGGCAGCCCCACCGCCTTCCAGACCCCCGCCCCCCCAAAACGCAAATTTCATTCACCATCTTCTCTCGGCTTTTGGCATAGGTCTCAAAGACCAATGGCCCTCTGTGTGTTCCCCGCCCACCTCCACAATGCCCTGGGTCCATGCTGAGTCCTGGGACTGCTCCGGGCAGCTTGAGCACACCGGCTGCTTCCCACGGCTGGGGCCTGGGTGCGGAGGGTGGTGACGAGAAGGTCCAGGGCTGTGGCACTCAGGGACTTGGGGGCGCTGCAAGTCTCTCTGAGCAGCTCCTGAAAGGGGTCCACCCCGTGGGGCTGAGACCCTCAGTCGTGCGGTGCCTGGGCGGTGCTCTGCTGATCGTGGCGCTGCCGCAGCGACGTACATAAAACATGCCCGGCGCACAGGGCTCTGCTCTTCAGGGCCTCTCAGACCCACAGCCACTCCCAAGACCACCTAGCAGCAGGGCCCTGGGGCCTGGCCAGAGCCCCACCTGTCCTCACCTCCAGCCCCGTTTATCTGGGAGTCCGGCCGTGGTGTCTGGCAAGGGAGCACCGGGAGGAGCCGGTCTGCACCAGTGGCAGGGCCCGTGCCATGCCTGCCCGGGCCAGGTCCAACCCAAGCCGGGCTGTCTCCGCAGGGGTGGCGAGAGCAGCCTTTACGCCACGGGGGCCTGGTTTGCTCAGGCCTATGCAGCCCCCAGCCGCCCTTGACTGGTGCTGTTCAGACCCCTGACCCCAGCCCCATCCCTGCTTGGGATGAAAGGGAAGTGAAAAGGCCTTTTCCAGCCACCCACCCCGCCTCTCAAAGCTGCGCCTCATCCCGCACCCCTGGACCTCCTGACTGTGTACACGGGTCTCTGGTCTCGGCCCTGCATGTGCTTGGCTCCGGTCGCTGCCTGCATGGGGCACGTCTCCGGCCCTGGCTGTCACTCCGGGCTCCGTCCCCTCTGCTGCCCCTAGGTGACGCTGCTGCGTCTGCCCCTGAGCTGCGGGCCAGGGGGAAGCCCAGGCCTGAGGCCTGCGGAAGGGGGGAGCGGGAAGAGCCAGCCCTGGCTCTGGGAGTTCAGTTGGTGCAGCATGCCAGGGCTGCCCATGCCCGCCGCCTCCCCTCCTCCCACAGCTCAGGCCTCTCTTCCCCCCTTCCTCCCAGGTCCTGCCCCCCCAACCCCCCCCCACTGCGCTGGGCTGCCCACAGTGGGGTTCTCTGGTCCATGCCGGGGCCATCTCCGGGACTGTGGACACCTAAGGCCTCAGCTGTGGGGATGGGTGGCCGTGAGGGGGCCTGCCCTCACTGACCAGGCACCCGTGCAGGACTTTGTGATGCAACAAACAGGCCATCCTGGCCCCTTGTCTCCCGGCTCCCCTGCCATCAAATTGGGGGGGGGGAGTGTCCCCTGGGGGACGGCCAGCTCCACTGCACCTGCTCCTCCCCCACCAGCTGGTCACCTCTGCCGCCTCGCCACACCCGGCCGTCCATCATCAGGTGAGGCGGCCGGGGGCCGGGGAGGGGCCGGGGAGGGGGGCGGCCGGCTCCCCGGTCCTGGATAGGGCCGGCTTGCTCCTCGTGGGGTCTCTGTGAGTGCTGTGGCCGGGACCTCGGTCTCCCAGGCTGTGAACCGGGCTCTCCCGGAGAGTGCACGATTCATGGAGGCCCCGCACGCCTGATGGTCAGCCAACACCCGGGCCTTGTCCGCGGGCCCTGGAGCTGGGCCCAGGCCCTCCTCCGGGGCCCTGGCAACCGTGCTCCTCCGTGGAGGGCCGGCCCCTGAACCCTGGCGGCCACGACCGTTCCTTTGGCTCTTGGTGCTTGCCGGCTCCGTTGGCACGGGGGTCCGCTCAGGCAGGGCCTGTGAGGCTCACCCCGGAATGACCTCCTGGCCACCCCTCTGCCTGCCACAGTGGACACTGCGCCCCCGGCCCCTCAGCTCGAGTGCCTCCCTCGTGCCCTTCTCTGGGCAGCTCACGCCCATGTGGCACGTCGCGCTGTGCGCCGTCTCCCCGCGGTGACCCCCTTGAGGCTGGCCTAGCCTCCTGTCCACCGCCACGGGCAGGTGTGGCCATGTGGCCCCCGCCAGCTGGTTTGCGCCTTCCCCCATCCCTGCAAAGCCCAGGCCAAGAGCGTGGCTTCATGGCTAAATCCACCACACACACACACACACACCCCAGACACACACACACACCCCAGACACACACACACACACCCCAGACACACACACACACACCCCAGACACACACACACA